TTCATGAAAATTTGATTTTTCCCATGTTCTTGTGTATTTTTTTAATTCTAAATCTCTACCTTAATTCAGCTTATAGCTGATTGTTGAACTGATTATTGCTTAAATTGGATCGTATTTCTTTAATATTTGCCAAGAACGAAAAAAAGCGAGGAAGTGGTCAAAAACTTTATCTCATCTTCAAAAAATTTTTGTGTGATACAGTTCTTCAAAAATTCCATTCATTGAATCTGGTTGTTGTTACATTTGTTTCAAAATCTTAATTTCTTATTTTTTATTCCAAATTATTTGGCTAAAAGCTTGCAATATGGCTGTGCAATTCGTCTCATAGGAAACTTATGCCTTCCGAAAGCTGTTCACTTTAAATAGCTCTGTAAAATCGCTACTTCAAGCATTAAAACAATATTCATTCAGTAGATGATATTTAGAAAATTCATCGGAAATTGCAAAACGTTTTCTCTTAAAACATTTTTATTTATTGCCCGACCACCAAATGTTAAGATTTTTGCACAAAAATTCTCGTTCTTGCAAACAAAAAAAAAGTGTTAAAGGAAGATTATCAAGTGATAATTTCAAATATTTTTCGCGAGAAAATATTAAAAATTTACGGTGGATGGTCAATTTGGCATCGAAAGTATACCTTCGCCATCATTCATCTTTAAACAACCAATTTTTGGCTGATTGTTAACAAGGCGATATTTCTCGTCTTAAAACAAAGATGAATATTTTTTTCGTCAAATTTTTTCGATGTGAATTAATTTCCACCACTATTTTCCACCGTAATCTCATCTAAGTAAACTATTAAGCTCTAATTTTATAAACTACTAATTTTTATTTATTATTTTTATTTATTTATTTTTTTTTATTTCTAATGAAATATTATTCACAATAGAATGTGGATTTTTGACTAAAATCTCTTGCAATAACAAAATGTCTAACATGTAATCGTAAAAATTCGATCAAATTGCGTGAATAAAAAACTTACCCATCATGCTTTCAGTTCTTTTTTCTTTTTTTTTGCAGGTTGCGCACATTTAAAATAATTAGATGAAAATTTATCATTGCACAAAATTAATTAAGAAGTAAAATACCGAAATGAAAAAAAATGGGAAAAATATTTTGAAAATAAATGCAACAATGGCACGTTTTTTGATCATATACGTCTCGTGAGCAAATCAATTTATTTTTTTGCTTGGCCAAAATTTTTTATGGCAAATTGAAGAGAAGAGCCATACTGGCTAGCAATTAGTTAATCCAATTTAGCTCATTTACAGTATATATACTCTTTTATTTTTGGAAAAACGAATGGCTTCTATTACTGTCGACGATGGCATCAGAGCGCACCGCTTGGAAGCGTCTTATCCTTGTAGTCGTTGGAGCCAGCCTAACCAGTAATGGTGAGAGCTGTTAGAAGAAGAAGAAAGAAGAATTAGTTAACCCATTTTAGCTCATTTACAGTATATGCTCTCTTATTTTTCTCTTTTTACCTATCACATTATTTGAAAGTATTTCTTATGAAACTATTAGTGCTTAGCTATACTAGTTATTTGTCCATGAAGTTTTATGTTAGAATGCTGAGAATTTATATGGTCCAAAAATTTGTGACAATGCGAATGAAATGGTTCTGCCACTTTGAAAATAAAAAAAGCTCTTTTTTTATTGAACATTTTTTTAAAATAAGATATAAAGTATTTCGATAAATTTGATATAGGCGATAGGTATTTGCTTCTACAAATAAACTAAGCGAAACGAATAGAAATAAAAAATTAACTGGAAAAACTAACAAAACTACTCATTGTTAGTAACAAAAAAATAAAGCAAGAAAATTTATTAATTTAAGAAACATAAAATATAACAATCCTTTCTTAATAGACAACCACTCTCCATAAAAGCGATCTTCAAACTGAGTTCTGAATGAGCCCTTCTTTTATCACGCAGTTCCTATTCTTAATAGATCGTTAAGCAGGAAATAATCACCGAGTAAGGATGAAAAATTAACATTTCTCCTATCATGTTAAGAACTGCACTTCACGATGCCATCAATTATTTTGTCGGTCCATAAATCGTTAATTCGATTTTAACAGTGATGAGTTATGCAGTGATTATCCGTATTATTCGTTCGTATGAATTTTTTCTTTACTTTTTTATTGCCCATGAAAACTCCTACACATTTCGCATATGCCAATAGGTTCATATATCATTTAGTAATAAAAATTCAATTTTCTATGATTGAAATTTATTTTTAGTAATTTTTTCATTTTTTTTAAAGCGACAATTCTCAGTTTTAGTCGAAAAAAAAATATTATTTTATTTACAGCGATTCTGATTTATTTATTTTTTGCAAATTACGATTAATTATGAAATTTTTTCATTTTTTAATAATTTTTCATTTTTTTATATTCAATTTTTTCTCTTTTAATTAAATAAAGCAAAGGCATAACGCTTATACAATAATAATTCTTATCATAACGATGCTTAGCGAAATAGTTAGGTGGATTATTGCTATCGTTTTCGAACATCGTCGCTGAGTTTCTTCTGCCAGCACGAGTGAACATATTTTTCAAAAATTCGAGTCGTGCTGATGACCCACTCTTGTATTTTTATCGTCAGGTGACTTACTGACAAAATGTGTCCTACTGGATAAACCAGTCTAACCAGAAATAATGTGCACTCTTCAAAATAAAAAATAGTGCTAATTAATTATGTTTGATATTGATGATATTGCTAAATAATGAATGTCTTTTGTTGATTTGAAAGTTGTCTTTTCTGGTTTGATGGGTTGCAGTATTACTGAATGCTTTATGCCAAAGAGCTATTTGGGTATGCCAAGTCAGTAGCAACTGCTCGGATTTCACTTCGAATGTTAGGCTTACTCTTATCAAGAGCCGGGAAATTATGATTAAATCAAGCATAATGTATAAGTCAGGAATTGAGCCTATGCTGCTTGCAGGTCGCATCATATAATATTCGTCTTCATCGTCAGTGCAGCAAATAGCTTTAAAACTAAAGCCATTTAGCAAAAAATTTATAAAAATATCAGCTGAAGGTGAAATTCTTCTTCATAAGTATAATCATAATAAATATTTCGATAAAATAAATAATTTCATTAATTAAAGCAAACCTATTTTAAAGTTATTTTAGTCATTTAGCGTTTTTTTTTTTTTTTAATATTTCGCCACAGTGACCTAAGTTATCACTGCAATATTTACGTTGTTCGATTTGTATGCGTAATTTTTTACGAACAAATATTTTCTCCTTTTTTTTATCTTTTTATTATCTCTGATAATTTAATCAAATAATTATCTCCATATTATATAAGATAATCCGAGAAAACGGGAAAATTTCATATTCAATATCCAAATATGCCAATGTGCTTGCTTTTTCGCTTTTTTCCGCATTCATCTATTGGCCTCGCTTTTTTTAAATACTTAAAAATAATGACAGAAATTACGAATAAACATTTGCCAAATTCGCCACAGTAAAATATTCGATTAATTTTTATCTTTTTTGATTATTTAAACGAATTTTTAATCATTTTAAAAAATAAATTTTCAAAAATTTTTTATTTTTCAAATAATTAATGATTAAAAAAAATTTCAGTAGTTAAAGATCGAATAAAAATGATTTTTAGCTTCAGTGAATGCATAGCCGAAATTATTAAAAGATGGAAAGCGCTAAAAGAGCAACGATGAGAGGACTTAGAAGAAATTTATAGCACAAACGGATCTTTAGAAAGTATTAGTGACACAACGAAAATGCAACCCTACCCACCTCCCTCCCCTCCCCCCACCCCCAATCCCTCTCTCGCCCCTTTCCATATCGCTTTCATGCTATTCTTTGCAATTTTTTTGATTTATAGCTTTGTACTTTGTAACAACGGTGACAAAAATGCCCTGCGTTTTTATGGAGCGTTAAGAAAAAATGCAAATGGTGTAAAATAGCGACAAATGGATCTAAAGAGGTTAAAGCAATAAAAATAGAATACGATGAAGAATTTTAAGGCAGTAAGGGGATATTTCGCAAGATATGAGGGGATATAAAATTTATCCAATGGTACTTCTATCACTCTCTCCTTAATAAGTCGTTCAAATTTCAATTTCTCGACTAAACCGAAAACGATAGCATTTTGTGAAATTCCATATTTATTTTTTAATATTGTAACCATAATACTCATGGTGGCTAAATAATCGAAGAGTTGTAAATCTGCGTTTTAGCAGGAACAATAGCTGCACTTTAGTGTAATTATCAAATTTCATTTTAATATGATTTTAGAATTTTTTTTTTAGAGGATTTGAAAAAAAATTTTAATTTTAAATTTTTTTTTAGAGAATTTATATTTTCTATTAAAATAATGTTTATAATTTTGCCTTGAATAAAGATGGAAAATGACGAATGTTCAGCGGTAATGAATCTTCGAAATTATTTACGAATTAAAACAGAGCAACCGATTCCCGATTATGGTTAAAAAAAAAATTTTCTTTTTTTTACATTTTTTAAGATAAATTTAAAAAGTTGGATTTTTTTTTGTAAATTTAAAAAAAAATAATTTTTTTTATTAAAAAAATTGGAAATAATTAAATTTTAAATTTATATAAATTTTTTAATTAATTTTAATAAAAATTATTTAAAGAAACGTGCGGAAATTTTCTTCATAAATTATGCATCGATCTTGGTTTAGAATGGCGAACTTATGAGGTTTATTCTATTCATTTTTAATTTTTTTAAATAGCGCTTATAATTGTTGATTTAGCTGATCCTCTTGAATTACTATGGAAATACTTCAAAAATCTATCAATTCAATCGAGAAATTCCTGAAATTAAATAAAATTGGATGCAAAAAAATAGCCTGGAAACATTTTTTAATATTATTATTGTAGAAATATTAAATAATTGATTATAAATGAAATAAATTATATTAGAGGAATATCAGAACTTCATTTCATAGAATAAAATTGTTGTCCTAAAAAATTAAAATTGTATTATTGTAAAATAGCAGATGACAGATTTGTGAGAAATTCCAGGTTGTGAAAGGCAAACCATTCTTCATAATGACTCTTCATGGTACCAATCCGTCATTGCCATCATTAATGCTTTATTCACATACAGATGTAGTTCCTGCTGATAAAGTGGGTTTGATTGCTGTATTTTTATTTCTGCAATCTTTTCGTCTTTTAATACGTCACGCCATATGGTTTAGGCGAATTCATTGCTGACCAGACTAAGATAATCCCGTGCTATGAACTGGTTTATATCTCTTAGATGCCGACAGCCGTTGTCATTAAGCCAATAATCCAGTTCATTGCACCAGCTGAAAATCTTAGAAATGAAGTCGATGAAGACATAAGGTTGCAGATCTTTGGAGCTGCGTTTAATACTTATCTTAATCTCAACATCTTAATAAAAATTACCGATATAAAAATTTGGTCAACAATATTTGAAGATATCAGCTCGAAGATTGTCTTTTCAGGGCGTTTTATTGGCTTATAAGCGAGAGGTAGATTTCTTTGGTTCGCATTTGCAATCGTATGGCTTCCTATGCATTCTAGTTATACCTTCTTTCTAGTTTTTGAATATTCCATAATTTGGAATTAAAAAACTCTCAATATCAGGAAATATGATCTTTGGCAGTCATTTTTTTTTCATCCTTGGATCATCTCACAGCTCGTCTATTGAGCTATGGTTTTCGCGAAGTGATGGAATAATTTTTGTTGATCGCCTACTCATTGTCTATTGTCTATTTTATCAATGCTATTGTTTATTTTTAGAGCCATATCCTTTTAGTTCTAGTTTTTGTTTTGTTTTGGTCTCTTGTCGGTCTGGGAAACTAGGTTTCCTGATGTGCATGCTGTGACTGCTCCAACCTACACCACTAAAAATTTCTCCACTACCATCAAGATATGAAGTATATCTATTTGCATGCAATATCAGATAGTTCGATTATTATCCGAGATCCAATTACCGAGTTTAGAAAAAAGATTTGATAGTACTCATCGGTTCTAGAAATGCCACTGATGTTAAATTTCTTTAAGTGTGTCATTATATTATATCATTACTTGGAATATATTTTACTTGTTTTTTTGAATATTTTTAAATTTAGTCATCCCATAAGGTCATAGAGGTTGCCAGTTTTGGCGCTACAATATGAGTGGCTGTGATGCACATAACTCAAACTCAAGATTTATCAAAATAATTACATTTATCAAACACAATCAAAAACAAAGAAATGTTTCCTTAAATGGATTAGAGCAGTTCATTCAGCAACACAACTCCTTTTGCTATCACCATTTCCTCTTCTGGTTTGAATTGTTGAGTAGTAGTAGTAGTATGCTGTAGATTGAGAGAATGTTTTATTTAAGAGTAAATTGTCGTAAATATAGAGTTGTAAATGATAATAGAGGATAAAAGTATTGTATATAGCAATAGCAGTACATTGACCGATCGGACCGATAGTACAGTATAGATGGATTGTGGTGACATATCTCATTGAGCGACTTTTGTTTATTGAATTATTTTTATCTTTTCAACAGTTGTACAAAAAACATGAAATTCGCTGTAGCATGCAAATAACTATAATTTAGTTTATTTGTTTTATATTAAATAGAAATAAATTTTTAGATTTAGATACAAGTAATGGATTAATGATTAATATTACAATATCTTAAACGGATATAAATGTATGAATGAAAGATCAAAGATATTAACACTACATTTCGAGGCGTATTGTAGAGTTATTTGACTATCTCATCAGAATACAATTTTTGCATTTGCTGATGAATATTCTTTGCCAAAAGATATTTGAGTACTTAAAAGTATTTAATAAAGTATTTAGAAATTTCGCTTATCTTTTTGAAATTTGCTTTTAGGAAAAGTGGATGTACGATCCATATAGCGGTCATAAGGATGATAATGGAAAAATTTTTGGTCGTGGTGCACAAGATATGAAGTCTGTTGGCATGCAGTATCTAGAAGCTCTCAGGCAACTTATAAATGATGGTCATCGAAATTTTTTGAGAAATATTCATCTAGTTTGGGGGCCCGGTACTTATTGCTTTTTGGTTCCAGTAGTTTCTTTAGGTTTATTCCTTATAAATCCTTTTTAATGAAAATTTTTTTTGTTCAGAAAGTGATCTTTTTTTCCATTCAGTTTTATCAAATATTTTTATTGCTTTTTTTATAGTTTAGCAGTGAAATATAATTTAAAATTTAATCTAGATGAAGAGATCGGGTCAATCGATGGAATGTCCAGATTTGTAGACGAGAAGTTTTTTAAAGAATTGAATATTGGGTTTGCACTTGATGAGGGACTTCCATCGGAAGATGATACTTTCAAGGTGTTTTATGGTGAACGTTGCGCATGGTGTACGTTTAATTTATTTATATAAACCTTTAATAAATATATTTCTTTCGGAAACTTTTGGTTTTGAGTTTCTCATGCATCACCAATTCATCGGATTGCAGGGCTCGAGATCACTTGTAGAGGTCAGCCAGGCCATGGTTCCCGGCTTCTTGATAATACTGCTGCTGAAAAATTTGTTAGTTTCGACCTGAATTTCCTTGGTTCCTAGTTTTTTCCATCACAAGTCTAGAATATATTTTTGAAGCTTCTTTACTACATTTTATTTGGAGATCGTTGAAGATAATAAAAGGATTAATTTTTGTTGGGTAGAATATCTCTCTCTGCCTTTTATTCATGTGATTTTTTCAGAATAATATTATCAATAGCATGTTGACTTTTCGAGAAGAACAAAAAATGAAACTGCTAATGGATCCTCAGCAGAACCTTGGTAATGTGATTTCAGTGAATTTAACGAAAGTTGAGGTAAATAAACTTAAATACATTGAAAACTTGTTGAAATTAAAGTTTTTATTTTTAATTTGATTTATTTTTAAAGTTTTGTATCATATAGTTTAATTTTTAGGGTGGTGTCCAAGTCAATGTTGTTCCTACTGAACTTAAAGCTTGTGAGTTTTTTTTCCATTTTTGGGTGTAAATCATTTCATTTTTTGATTTCTACTATTTCTTAAGAAAGATCTTGGCCTTTTTTCAAGCGAAAGATTGAGAAACAGATTTATATAATTTTAATATCTATTTATTTACTAAAGAAAATTCTGCCGGTATATGTTTTGTTGGAAGAAATCTTTTAAAAATATATTTATTTAATATTTTTCTTTTTTCGAAAATACTACTTTTTAGGAATTTTAGGGAATCACTTTTGAGTAATTTTCGAGAATACTACTTTTAAAGTTGATATTCTTCCATCGAATTTTGTGCAATTAATCTTTTAATTTTCTAGCCTTTCTAATTGTATTTGAAATTTTTAGGGTTCGATATAAGAGTCCCACCAACGGTCGATTTCGAGGTTATCATATACTTTGCTTTCATCATCGAAAATAGTATCGAAATAGGAAGTTGCGAAATACAACTTTAAAGACCATTATTTGATTGAGAGCGTTTTTACTAATGAAAATATGTAATTATGCCTTCAAGTCAAATTCTCTTTACAGCAATTCGAAAATCAGATCAAAAGTTGGTGTAATAAAGCTGGATCGGATGTTTCATACAATTTCCTAATTGTGAGCTATTTTTAGTAAGGCTTATCAGTTTTGAACATTCCAAATTAATTAGTCTGTTTAAATCATTTTTTCAGCATTCGAAAATAAAGAATGTAACTCCTACGACAGTTGATGATCCGTGGTGGAAAGCTTTTTCATCAGCTTTGAGCGAAGAGTTAGTTGTAATCTTTGTCGTTTAGATTTTGAAATAGGTAGAAATATTTCTTTGTTTTTGAGCAATGAATGTGTGACAGCAATCGAGAAATAATGGTAAAAGGATAACCAATATCAAAAATTTAGTCCCATTAATCCCAATGAAACTGATCGCGTTATTCACTTAACGCAAACTTCAAATCCCTGTTGAGCACTTAATAATATGTTCTGGAATATATCTCTTAATACTTATTAGAATATTTACTGATCTACTTTTATGTTTCCCAAATTTCCGTTGAATTTGTTCAATTCCCTTTGGTTCCAACTACCATCATATTCTTTCATCACTATCTCTTGCTTTCGCGGGGAAAATTTATTCAAATTTTAAATCAAAAATAAATTTAAATCAAATTTCTAAATCAGCTATCGAATTGTAAATGTGTTAAGATTATATAAACTGATAACTGATAAAACTATATATTTATAATAATATAAAGTTAATATAAACTGATAATATATTTGAAGCCAGTGGTAACAATGGACAGAAAAAAATTCAACGATGTTCACTGGAATTTAAAGAGATTTCAATAGCTGATTTATGCCCTATGCGGGTTATGACTGGATATGTAGAATTTTTGACAGGATCAGGAGGAATGAGGGCAACGCAACGGGAGTTTACGGAGACTTAGGCTGGTACTATTTATTGTAAGGACGAAGGAAATTTTTGGTAATAACGAGATGATAGCGAAATGTGTCTATGAGGGTTTATTTTAAGAGAGGAATATTCGATATAAAATGTAGCGAGGTTTCGTGTGGAAAATAACGGAGTTGAGTGGTCATAAGATTGGTACTAAGGTTGAGGCAATAAAAGGCTTCAAGAATGGTTGTTTTAAAAAGTCAAGGATGAACAAAGTAAAAGAAAAAACGAGGGTTTTTTAAAAGTTTAAGGAATATTTAATGGGATATGAAAAGGCTTTTCAGAAAATATAGCAAAATATAAATATAAATATAGGTAAATGGTTTCAATTGTTCACGTTTGTCCAAGAGATCACAGTTCGAGGCCTCAGCAATTTTTTCCATGTCATATCGCTTTTTAATATCAAATTTAACTGAAATTTTAGTTTGCATACTATTAAGCAATTTAATATGTTAAAAATCATGATTATATCTCATTTGATTTATTTATAATATCAAAATGACTTTCTTTTTTGCGAAACCGATTGTACACTTTCATTTTTTTATAGGAAATGTTTGATATCAAAAGAGATATTCATCGGAGGAACGGATTCACGTTTTTTGAGAGAAGTATTTTTTTCATTAATTTGTTGTTCTTAGATTAAAATGGGGAATAGAGTTTCGTGATGCAAAAATTTCTCACCGCCAGTGGGACTAGTACGACCTGAAATACTGGGCGCCAACTAGTTAAACTAGAAATTATTATATGTATATTATATGTGTAGTAATTTAAGATATTTTAAATTTAGATAAGATATAATTTATTTAATAGTAATTTAAGATATCTTCATCATTACCAGCCCTATTTGATAACTGTAAGGTTTTAGAAAGGATATCGTGCAATTGGATTTACCGCCATAAACAATACGCCTGTACTTTTACATGATCATAATGAATATATTGATGAATCGGTTTATCTAAGAGGTATTAAAATTTACGAAAGGCTCATAATGAAACTGGCTAATTTATCTGAATATAATTAATTGAGAGTGAATTTTTTTCCAGTTCGAAAGGCCTTTTACTCTTAATTTTTCATTCCTTTTCGAAATATTAAAACATTTTGATTGCTCATAAATGCTATTTTATGTTCCTTTAAACATATTTCACACAATTTGTCAATTTTATCAACTTTTTATAAAATTCAAAATGAAATGTAAAATCATTAACAGTTTTCATGAGGTTTATAATTAATTTTCATGCATTGAACGATTTATTTACTTGTTTGATCCGAGGCAAAAAAAATATTTTAATCACAAATTTACATATAATGAAACAATTAACAGTAAGATTATTGCTTATAATGAATGAAACAAAAATGTTGGCATTTTCCTAGGGCTTTTCAATTTAATCTATTTTTGCAGTCGTATTAGGACAGGGACATTACTTTATTTTTGATATATTTCCGGAATGCAAACATTTATAAATCAAACTGAATTTTTAGTGGAATGAGAATTTTTCATGGTGCTTTTAAGAGTTTCACGTTTTAATACGAAATTCTGAATGGAAAAATTCATTATAATTTTTTAAATCGAAAAATTTAAATTAAAATTTCTTTGAATCGATAAATTATTGAAAAAAAATTAAGTATTAAAATTAAATTAAAATTTCAAACCAAAATTAAATATGGGTGAATGAATGGGTGAATATAAATGTCGCATAGGGGTTATAGAATGAATTTACGATTTTCATTAAAATCACCGTCTTGGAAATTTTCCTGAGGAGAAAATGATGCTATGCCAAAGATTCCGTGTGCTTTTTGCCCATAACGAAAGATTCCTTAATTGGAATAGAAAGAATCTTATCTGAACCAGTATTTGGGATGTAAGATAGAAGAGATTTTCATTTTAAACCATTGGTTGAGGATTGTTGTAGGATAAAATATAGAGACGAATCGTTGAACAATTTCCAGCAAAGGATATGGGACTACCATCATTTATATTCATCCACACTTTATTATATTACTTTGAAGCCTAAGTTGAATAACGCTTAATTCACAATAAAATTTACTGAAATTATAGGTTCTGGTAAAACAGCAAAACAATTTAAGATATGCAAAAAAAAAAGTTAACCATAAAAAAATCAAGGAAAATTGTTGTTGAATATAAATGTCGCATAGGGGTTATAGTACGGTACTGTACAATATGAACTGCTAGTGAGTGATATTTAAACATTTAAACATTAAACTAGTAAAGTAAAAAAGAAAAAAGATGGAAAGAACTAGCTGGAAGAAAGAAGCTTTTATCTGCATAATTCGAATTACGAGTGGCTAAAATATCGGTTAAAAAAAGACCAAATTTGAAAGAGATTTTCATTGATCGTTTTCCGGATTGATGACTTTGAAAACTGGTAACTGTTAACTTTCATTAGAAAGCAATAAAGTAGAGATCATTAAACCTTTTAAATGAGGTTGCTACAAAGATCAGTGAACTGGTATTGTAGTAATACAATAATATAAGTAATAACGTGGAAATCAAAAGCAGAGGATCAAATTATGAACATCCTCAAAAAATTATACGTACCATTCCTTATATTCCTTTTTCCTATTATTCGATAATTCATTATTTTTTGCAGTACCTGTATTTTTGCCGTTTGGTATAACAGTACCTTTGATAGGTTGATAACCATTAGATTGAGCTCCAACTCTTGCTTGTATGTATGGTCGGCTAATTGACTGAGGCAAATGATGCGGTTCATTGTGTCCTAATTGAGGTGACATTTCCGCTGAGATCGGCGCGTAACCAGATTGTTTTCCATTACAAACCATGGGATAGTGGTCAGCTGATGGACCACTCTGCCTGCACCTAGAATGGCACCAACAAAAATTAAAGAGAAATTACGGATGAGGCGTTGGCGATAAAACTTTTAGAAAGAATTTCTATGAACTCATTTTGACTTATTATTTGATTCAACTTAGGTGAATCAGATATGGAAGATATAAAATGATATAACAATAAGTGATCTAGAAAAAGAGCAAGAGACATCAAGACGAAAGAATGTATAAGAGCTTATATCACAAAAAAAATGATCTATCGCACCGAAAAGATTTTAAATCTGACCTGAATACGCAAAATACCACAATAGCTATAATTATAATCACTGAGAGTGAAGCGATAGAAATAAGAGCGGTTCGTGGAAAATCGGTAGGCGTTCCAGGACCCTACAAATTAGGATTACCACCGCTCAAAAATGAAAAATCGCTTGTAAATTTATATATTTATTTCACAAGAGCAAAGCATTTTAAAAAAATTCATGACTTCAACCAATAAGATTGCAAGGAATTTTTATCTATTAAACCTATTTCATAATTTCATAATTGCTAAATTCAGTAACTATTAGGTGACATAAAAAGATAATTTATGATCAAATAGACCATGGCTTTATCAAAACTTTTTTACCAATTATTGCGAACCAGGAATCGATTATACAATGAAAACAAATTATTAGAGAGAAGGAATGCTTAGTTTCTAGAATTGTTTCAGTTGTTCCTAAGCTAGTTATTTTTTCATTTACTAAGCAACAATTCAGAAATTTTTCTACAGCTCTTGCAATAAATTTTGCATTCACGGATAATATATTCATCAATCATGATCTCACAAATAATTTATGAAATCATCTGTTATTGAAGTCCGCTCAGCTGAACCAAAAAAAAACACACCACATTTTAGGTATATCTTCCACACACTAATAGGCTAAATTTTCGAAAAAAAAACCTATGCTAAAAAAGATATAAACATACTTTGGAAGTTGATACCATCAGATCACCCATAGGAGTTGTCGGTCTAACAGCATAAATTTTGTTGCCTGGAACTGGTGTTGCACGTTGACGAATCTGCGTTACTGTAACGATTGTTGGCAATCGATTCGATTTGGTGACTAGCAACTGGCCTAAAATATTTTAACAGCTAAAGTGTAAACCTTCTATATAAATTTAAAAAAAAACCCCTAAAAGATTGGTCAACACCATGCAAAAATTTCGAAGCTTTTCGATTACACCGAGATTAATAAAAAGAACGAAAATCTCAGAATTTTTTTTTTGCTAAATTTCCTTGCTATAACGCAAAATGACTCGAATCTTGATTCAAATCTGATAACTGATAACCGCAAGGCTTTCAAATATCCGACTTCATACTTCATAAAAAGCACGATAAAACTACCAGGCTACATTCATTTGACTACTGGATTAAACAAGCTGTAAGTTTCATTTTATTTTCTTTTTATTTTTTTTGACTTAACTTTTGCATTTACTTAATTTCAAATAGTATAATGAGGATTTTTTAATGATGATAAATCAGCATAATTGCTGAGATAAGTCGAAAGATGCAAATTATTTCAATCATTTTTCCAACTATAATTAGTGCAATAAAACCAGACGAAAAATTTGAGTACATGCGAAAGCATTCGCTATTAAATCGAGCAGACTAGGAACTAAAAGAAAAAATTACAAATAAATGTGATTTTAAGAACAAGAAAAAAAATATTCATAGACAATTCATGGATAATATGGATTTTACTTTTCCACTTTTAGACAATAAAATCGTCAATTATAGCGAAATTTTAAAATCTATCGCTATCGCTAAAATCTTAAAATTATTCTTATTTTCCGCTTATCAAAAACATTATTAAAGTGTTTAGAAAATTCTGACAAAATAGAATGTTAAATAAACGATTTTTAGTTAATATTAATAATTTTTAATAAAATTAAAGTAATAATTATTATTGTCGAATATTTGTTATCATAGATTATAGTTTATTTGAATTCAATTGTCTTGTCAATCATTTTAAACAGATTATTCGAATTATTAGAACGTAGAATTAGATTTGTTCGAGTATTTTTTTAAAAAAAAATTTAAAGCGAAAACTATTTAGCAAATAAAAGCACATGATCCGTGCAAAAAAAGAACACTTTGCATGTGCATCAGAAACTTTCGTTTATTGAATATTTAAATATTAATTGCCTTCATTCTATGCTTCCTATCTGGTAGAATTAATAAAATATAAATTAATTAAGAAATTGATCAATAATGTGAGCTTAGTGAAGTTCATTGTTAAGTTCAATATTATCGTATATTCAAACATTCAAAACGATTAATCAGTGATATAAATTACTGCTAAATTACATTCATGCGTATTGAATATTAAATTTTTAGTTACAATCTAATTTTTTCATAAGTGATGAAATCACTCTACGTTTTACTTACCAGAACTTTGCGAAGTTTTGCTGGGATTTCCGAAAGTAACACTCAGCTTTACTGATGATAATTTAGTTTCTATGGTAGAAGGTGGTAGTCTTTTTGTTGTACGTGTAATTTTTAGATAATCATTGACGTTTTTAACTCGAACTGTATTTGAAGTAGTTCTTGATTCATTCACTGAATCGTCTTCTGTAATTGTTCTTACCACAGGTAGAATTGTTGTTGTTTGCTCCACAATAATAGGTGGAGCGGCAATATCGGACCAAAAATCTTCAAAATAATCATAATCATAAAATCGAGAATCTTTGGATAATTCGGGGATTCGAAAATTCAATGCGGTGCTTAATTTGGGAGAAATGCTTGTGTAGCTTGCATTGCTTCGTGATGAAGCTCTCGTATCAAACGTTGCTGTTGGAACTGTTGGTGCCTTCTCAACACTCGAAGAATTAGTAAAGAGAACGTGTGTGGTTGCAGCATCATATAAAGTGTCTTGAATCGGAGATGGTGAATAAACAAAATGGAATTTGTGCTGGGAAGATATCGTCGATGTATTTGAGTACCAATCATTTACATTTTTATTGTTTTTAATATGATCATATATTTTATTCACTATTATTTCCTTGTGATTGGATGGAGTTTTAGGAATATTTACCAGAGAATTCGGTGAATGTGCTGGTGTTATGCGTGCAGGTACAAAATAGGGGAAATGTGTTGGCTTTATAACAGCAGATGTAGAAGAAACAACAGCATGCATTAATCGTTCATTTGAATTGGTGCCAAAGATTTGCAAAGGATTATGCCGATGCACTTCCCGTACATTAGCATCTAATTTGGAATAAGTAGAGCTGGTACTATATGGTCGAACTCTAGGCAACTGACTTTTGCTTTTAAAATATAAATTAAATTCTTCTTTCGGCCATTTTAAATTTTTGGTTGAAGAAGTATCGTCGTAAACGTCGATCTCGAAAAGAGGTGGAAATGTATAAAGCGATGAACTGGCTGTGTGGATTTTAGAGTAGTGATCGTCATCACTTGGATTCTGCACATCAATAGAAGTTCTATCGTAATCAGATCTTAAGGTCGAAACTGTGAAAGAATTGAATTGATTTATACGGTGCAACTCACCGTTCAACGTCGTATCCGAATCAGGAATCGAAATGTGACGAGCAGTCAGCGCCAATTGAGTCGAGGTTGGAAAGCGCTCCAATAAAACTGGTGTTATCAAGCCTGCAATTCAGTTTCAGTTAATTGAAAAGAATTTATGAAAAAAAACTTAAAATTCTTAAAAATAATGATCCATTTTTTAGATCAAATGCATATACCAAAGTCGAGTGGAACTTTCTTAAACTGAAATTTGAAATTTAAAAAGGATTTCTTCTTCATTAGCTTCAAATAGCATGAACCATGTTTGGCTTTTGTGTGTGGTCGTGCGAAATTCGGCGCAAACATCGGAGGCTGCCGATCGACTATACGGCAGTCTGGTGAGTCCCATTCCAATAAGCATGATATTGGCGGCAAAGTCGTCCTTATTTCACCATTTACATCCAGTTTCTCACCTCGGCGTACCATATCATACAGCTCATAATATTGCATCAATTATTTTTCGTCATATATGATCGTATCTAACGCGTTTTTCGAAAAAGTATCCAAACCAATCAAGAAAATTTTTAACATATTACCAAATTTCCAACCAATTCACCTTGGTTACTCATTCGAAGTAATAACGAAAATAAAATATAGCATAAAATCGCGTTATATGATGAATAACATTAGATTTATGAAAATTAAAGATGTGGGTTATTCTTCTTCTTCTTCTTCTAACAGCTCTCACCATTACTGGTTGGGCTGAATCCAACGGCTACAAGGGTAAGACGCTTCCAAGAGGTGCGGTCTGATGCCATCGTCGACAGTAATGGAAGCCATTCCTTTTTCCATCGTCTAAGTCCATATATTGCTGGTCCATCTATACGTTCAAAATCTTTTCGCACTGTAACAATCCAGGACTTGATTGGCTCACCTCGCTTTAGACGCCAACCATCACACGGTTTAGCAAGTAACGAAATATGCGTCAAACTCCTGTAGTGGACGACCGAGAATGTGCCCTAACCAGCGAAGGCGGCGCTCGGTGATAACGTTATTTATGCAAGTGGTATTTGAATGAAGATGGATGCGATCCTGTGATATTTTATCCGCTCGATGGACCCGCAATATGTACCTTAGATGTGGGTTATTACTGATTTTATTTATTCAATCGGGAAGATAATTTGTTGTACCAATAATTTAAAAGTTATTATTACCTATGATGGTTCTTCAATTTATTTATTGATGGGATATTGTAAGAATCTTGAATATTTATAACGATTGTGCCTGAAGGAACAGCTTGGAGACTTTTTATTCTTGCAGCCAGCGTTGCAAACCTAACCAGCAATAGTGGGAACTATTAGAAGATGAAGTCATTAAAGCAAAAAGTCATTAAAGCAAAAATATTAAGCGGCTGATTGATTGCTTTCAGTAAGAACAAAAAACAACTGCTTATAGGTTCAAGCTATAAACTGATGGTTATGCAATATATTTTTAACACTTTGCTTAATTTCCAAACCTCAAAAATGAAAAGATTTAACTATTTACGATAATTTAATCAAATAAAGGCTATATTTACAATGAAAATTTTTGATTCAATGAAACTTTTTTTTATTCTGCTTCAGGATAATTTTTACGTGAAGAGAAGAGTATTCTCTTATAATTCTCTCTCTTATATTTACTTTAATATAAGACACCATCCTCTAGTTATTAAGATTGTTAACGGTATAAATAACTATTAACCCATATTAAGCGAGGAAGAATGGGTAGATAAATGAGTAATAGGTGAAAATGTAGGTTATTATTTTCATTTCCGTCTATCGATGCTGGAGAATTAGGAAGGCCTTATCCTCGCAGTAAATCTGTCTTTCAAAAACCCAAGCGC